TTGCACGCAAACGCTGCAGCTATAAAGAAGGGGTGTTATACTATATAGCTACTCTGCTACTAAAGAGCGTTCTACGCTTTTACTAGACCTAGAGGAAGTAGGTAGTATGCTCTTAAGATAACTAGCTTCTAAGAGTGCGCGCCTTAGCTATAAACTCGCATGCCTTTAGGTAAGGCATCTTAACAGCGTTATAGAAGTTTAACTTCTTCTTATTACTGCTTATAGCTTCCTGCTTAAAAAGCTATAATATAACCTTCTTGTCCTTAGAGGATATAGACGCATAGGCGCTACGTTTATTATTACCTGCTTGCTAGTCTAGCGCAACAAGGCTAAGATCTAGGCTGCGCTCTATTAGAGTAGCTTCGTGTTTCTTAATGCGTTCCTGCTTAGCGCAGCAGTTGTTGTTTATAACTATAGTAGTAGTGCGCGGCTCCTCTACTAGCTACTCTCTAGGCTACTCTCTAGGCTGCTCTTCTAGCTTGCTAAGTTGCTTAGATAGCTAAGGGCTAGCTGCTAGCGTCTTAACTGCTTCTGCGCAAGCGCGCTTAGGCGACAGCGCTAGTGCAGAGGGTGCTAGTTATTTTATGCGTTAGGTTAGAGGGGAGGCAGATAGCTTCTATGCAGACAGCAGCTCTACTATACTATCTTCTGCAAGCAACTAGGCTGTGCAGACTAGATAGTTCTAGATATTATTAGGCAGGATGTTGTTAGCAAGCGTCTCGCGCAGAAGCTAGATTGCTAACAAGATAGAGTAGGCAATAAAGATAGGCTTATAGACGCTAGCATTATTATAGGTAGGGATTAGCTATCCTACGCTATGTAGATAAGTATCTAGATTATACTGCAAGCATAAGATAGTTACTTAGTAGAAGAAGAGCTTCTTATAGTTCTTATTTAGTAGTTTATATCTATACTTACTACTAAAATTCGCTTTACTAGCAAGAGGGAAGCTATAAGCACTGCTATTAAATTACTTAGTAGTATTATATAGCACTATAGACTAGTGCATGCTAAAGAGGTATATATTGCTTTAGTAGGCTATAGGATAAAAGCAAGATAATAGGTAGTGCTAGAGGTAGAGGCTAGTTTTTAACTAGGTCCCCTAAGGCGCGCGTTAGCCTAATATATAAAATTAGGCCGCGCATAGATATATAAACTATACTATACTAACTAGCATAGGTAGAACTTAAAGAGTAATAAACCTAAAATACTGTTTTAATAAGAGTGCGCTGATCTATAGCAGTAGTTAAAATAGAGAGGGCTATCTCTTATAAACTAGAAACCCTAATAGCGTTTCTTGTCTATATAAACACTAATATAATTATATAGAGTTAACGTAAGTGCATAGCGAGTGGACCAGCTAGGCGAGTGGACCGCCCCAACAAGCCATTGGGCACTCTGCAAGCAATTGCGCAACACCACAATGCTTTACTATAGCTAACAGTAGCAAATATTAATTGCTGACTTCTACTGCATCTTTCTCACACGTGCGCGAGTTGTGCCCTGCCTCACCGCAGCGCCTGCAGTGCCTTTTGTGCTGCTTGCCTGCACCTGTTTGAGCCCTACCCTCACGAGTTTCCCCCTCAAGCTGCGCCCCAACGTCGCGTTGGGCTATCAAATCCTCTGCCTGTTCCTTTGAGAGGTCTCCACCCTTCTGAATCCGCTTTCTTTTGCGCGATTTGCGCTCAGAAGCAGCCCTGTTTGACGCTTCAAGCTGCAGCACTCAGGCGGCTAGTAACGTCTGTGAATGCAGTATCATTGCAGTGCCTTTTTGCAGCTGATCCATCATCTCAACTATAGGAGAAGGTGACGATCCTTGGTGCCTCTGAATACGATCGCGAAGCAACGTTGATTGAGCCTCTATCTCATTGGCGTTGGTGGGTGTCTTAGGGTTCCATTGGGGCTCCCCTGTGAGAGGCGGTGTTGGCGTGCGACGCTTCACATCAAGCTTTAATAGCACTACCAATGGATCATTGGGCACTAAGCCAGTTGCTTTGAAGCTTGATACAATGTTTGCCTTTGAAAACGCCTTATCAAACACCTTCCCAAGGGTCGCGATGAAGGCTTTTTTGTCAATCCGGCCAATATGGTCCAGCGCCAAGACTCTGATCTCTTTGCTGTACGCCCGCTTTAGGGGGGCAAAACAACCCACATCAAGTGGTTGTAGGATGTGAGATGAGTGTGGAGGCATACACAGGGTAATAATCTTGCTCTCTGTGCAAAGATTTTGGAAAGTAAGCGACTTGTGGCTCTCGTGGCCGTCGATTATTAGCAGCACGTGGCTACCCACCCTCTGGCCCCGAATCTGCTCAACAAAGTGCCTTAACCAGGCTACTCCAATATCGTTAGTAGTCCAGCCGTTGTTACTGACCCCAATGCGCCATTGGGGCTTCAAATCAGGGTACCAGGACGCGTCGTGGTTCTTTGCTTTGAAGATAAGGTAGGGCGCAATTGCCCAGCCCATCGCGTTGACTGCAGCAATCAAAGTCACCCACTCACGGTCTCCCTGCTGGACCCCAATAGGTTGAGTACGTCTCTCAGATGCAGTAACTACTCTGACGCAATTTCCAACGCCCATAGTAAAGCCAGTCTCGTCAAAGTTGTAGGTATCTTCGTCCTGGATGCCGTACTTGGCCTTAACATTCCGTACTAGGTCAAACCAGGGCCCAATGACCCCTGGGTCGCTGCAGAGAACTCTCTGGCGATCCCTCTGTCGAGTTAATCGTGATTGGAGTCCAGGCTCGCGTTTGACGAAGTTTGAAGCCCATCGGGGGCCAACAGGCTCTGCATCGCGTGCAGCGCGCAATTGATTAGCCATATCTTCAACGCAATGGAGCGTTGGGGCAAGTCCTTGCTCGTCAAGCCTCCTTATATACTGCACAAGCGCCTTCTCTTCTATCTTATTAAGGGCTGATGATTTAGGCTGGGTATCGCGTGTTGACTGCCTCCCAGCGCGTCGCCGAAGGAGGGTTGTTTTTGACACCTGGTAGACAACAGCAGCGCGTCGCACGCTTAGTTCTTGGGGTTTCTTGATTGCTTGGAGTGCAAGCTTGATCCTGTCTTCTTTTAAGAGCGATTTGAGGTTATGTGGCTGATCCATTGAGGTTTGAAGGTTGGAGGGCCCAATGGCTTGTTGGGGCGGTCCACTCGCCTAGCCGGTCCACTCGCTATGCACTCACGTTATTTAATAGTATCTTTGCATAATATGTTTTATAAGTAAGTGCGCATTATAAGCAAGTGCGTACCCTACTAACTTTATATACCTCTATAGGTAAACATCTTAACTATATTAAGAGATAATATATAGATATTAATAAAATAGATTAAGTAGTGTCTAAAGTATATTTTTATATATTTATAAGTTATACCTAGTCTCTTTGCACCTCTTGCAGCGCGCAAGAGCCTAGCAGCTAAGGCCTAATTACTCTCTACCTTAATACTGTTTACGCTCTATCTGCTAGTTAGCCTCCTTTTAAGCAAGTATATCCTCTCCCTCTCCCTTTATTAAGGTCCCCTGCTTCTATATCTGCTTCTTTTTATACTGCCTATACTTTAATACTGCCTTATTAGCTCTCTTAAGGCTAGTAATCTAATTATGTATTAGCTTAGCTAAGAGCATTATTACCTCTGCTCCTTTCTTAAGCTAGCTAATTGCCTTAATTATTAAGCCTAGTAATAAGCTCTTATACTGCTGCATATAATTATATATTAGTATTAATTAAGCCTTAAGCTTATATATATTGCTTAGCATATAAGCCTCCTAGGGGGCCTCTAGTAGAGCAGCTAGTATAGGCATATAAAGCTACATATCTAGCTTTAATAGAATAATATCTAGCTAGAGAGGGACAAGGCCTGCGCCTTAAAAAGCTAAGCAGATATTAGCTGCTATAAATAACTATATAAAGGCTGCCTTAAAAGCTATCAGAAACTTAAGCTTTATAATATAGTTAATATAGTAGTAGATTAAATCTTTAATCTTATAGCTATACACGCACTTTAGCACTAAGAAGCAGACTATGTTAAGTAGCTATAGTAGGTGTAATAAGTAAGGCAGCATATAGAGCGTATAGATATTATTCTCCTTGCAGAGTTCTTAAAACTTAAGAGACTAGTAGCTCTTATAGCTATCAAGGATAAGCAGCTAATATGCCCTAACTACCTTGCCCTCTATATACTTAATAAAGTGCTTTAGCTACTTAATCCTAAGCTTGTTAGTTATCTAGCTATTGTTACTAATAGCAATCGCCTAGTCGCGCGGTATATCCTCCTAATACTAGGCAGATAGGTAGTGCTAGCTAGCAAAGATAATAAAAGGCAGGATAGCCTAGCTAGCAGCGTTAATTCCCTAGATAACTATCACCTATTCGCGATTGCCTAGCTAGATAGCCTTTAGCCAGCCTCTCCTCTCTAATCCTATTATAACAAGCTAAGTTATAATCTTGCCTATTATAAAGCTAGCCTTATTAAAGTTGTAGTTATCCTTATTATAGATGCTATACTTAGCCTTTATCTACTCTATAAGCTTAAACTAGCTCCTAATTAACATAGGATCTTTGCATAGAGCTCTCTGCCTATTATACGCTTAATTAAAACGCATTGCAAGACTGTCTATATGCTTAACAAAGTTGCGTAGCTATTAGACGCTAATATAACCTACGCCGCGCGCAGTAAGCAGCTTATTTGCTATATCACGTACAGCTGCATATATAGGCGCAAATCCACGTTAATCTAGGTTAAGTATATATCTAATAATTACCTCCTCTTCTAGCTAGGTAAGTTTCTTTAAGTTAGGCTGGCAATCGCGTCAGGCAGGCTTGCCAGCGCGTTAGCAGTGGAGTGTATCTTAAGAGACATTAAACGTCTGTGCAGCAACTACCTTACTCTAAAATTAGTTTTGCTAAAGAGCTAAGATAGCAAGGTGTATATTAGCCTTACAAGAAGCTGGCTGGGCTTGAGTTGGGGGTGCCATGACAGCTAGGAGTTCACGCGTCGCAGAAAGTTGGTGGGGTGCGCACTCGCTTGTAAAACACGTTAGTGAATGAGCGTGTGACCAGTCGCTTCCTCCAGGTCTAAGAGGGAAAACTTCTTCTCCAGACCAGTCTTGCTCCATCCGGGAGGCAAAAGGTGTCTCGGAACATAGTGGACTGTTTCGTCTGCGCCGATAAGAAGTTTGACAGGGACTTTAGCGTAAGGGCTGTATGTAACAGTTAGCTCGCATGATTTGGATATGAGGTACGTTGTTGAGTGTCTTACGAACTGCGCGGTCTCTGTGTGGTAGGCTCACAGCTCGAAAGTATTTCTGTTGTTGACTGCTCGGGTAGGCGTGTTTCCACCAACTGGGGCGTGGGTTCTGCTATGTACGTCTCTTCCAATGCAGGTTGGGGCTCACTGGGTCTTTCCTTACAACCGGTCTTCCTGCTTTTGAGATTTCTGTTTGCCATGGTCAAGTTGGAGTGATTCAAGGCCGATAGAGCAAAGACAGTTGAGACTGATCTTGAGGGGTTTTCGTGAGGGATTTATGAAGTGGCATATGTTGACCTCAACATGTCTGATTCCGTGCGACTTACCCCGCTAATAGAACCTAATCGCCTTTGACCACGTCATTGTACAACAACGGCTGGTGGCCTCATAAATGAAGATTACACCTTCAACAGTTACTGCTGCTAGCTGAGTGTTTAGAATTGCTATCAGAAAATTCTGGCAAGCCAGCTTCTTAGAAGATCGTGCTCCTTGCATGAAGCAGGACATTGACGAAACAATTGTCAGATTGCGTTCCTGAGCATGCTAACTAGGGTGGAGAGTGTAGAATGGTCCTGCATTCATTTTCTGTGGGTCACTATCCTTATCGTCTGGAATGTAGCGAGTTATGAGACATACTAAGAGCCTTCTCGCCTGTCGGATCGCCATGCCTTGGCTGTAAAAGTCGTGTTGTCTACCGTAATTGATGGTTTGAATCATCGAAAAGGCCGATAGAGCCTGCAAAGTCGCTTCCCCGAACAGAAAAGACGCAACCGTGTACCATGTTGTTGGCACGACAGCCGCCACCGTGATTCACACAGTTTAGATCGCACATGGACGCACGTCGATGCGCATCACTCCAATTCAAGAACTGTTGAAATATGCATACCCCGCTTTCGGCGTCAATCATCAGGCAATTGCCGTTCTGCAGCCTCTTTTCTGGCACCGAAAACAATCAATTTTGAAAATACGCATATTATTTCTATCACTCTGAGCCAAGATAAGGAAGTCGATCCGTATCGTACATAATTCTAGTATAGAAATGCATTGACTGTAGACTCACATGGTAATACATCCTTATCAAGCCTCTGCATGTGGTTAGCGACACAGTATATCAATAGAAGTCATGAACTTGATGCACCTCAAGCAACTAACCTTATAACCACAAGTAGTGTGGCTGAGGGTGTACGTACAGATCCGTAGCCATGTACCGACACGAACCGCATTTTAACTAACGTGCTACGATAACAATAATTACACGTTTGTGTACGCAAGCGGAAAACGGCAGATTCTGATTAGATCAAGTTCAAGGTCGGTGAGCAGAAGAGGTCAAGCAGCAGACACTACGGAGGAACCTTATTCACGGGTAGGTGAGTTTAAGCGTGGATCGCTAGTTGTAATACCACGTTCAACAAAGTCATCATGCGCAGCAAGCAGAAAAGCAAGGGCTTCACGCGTCAAGTCGTTCTTTTCTTCCTACTAGTGCCCGCTCGACGTCTGCAGTGAGTATATGTTCCACGACAGTGGATATAATGTTTCCTGTCCTACCACCAGCAAGTTTTTATCCAATAATCGATAGTACGCTCACGGGATCGAGTCCCAGTTGTGAGGTTATGAGGTTGCTAGAGATCAGGGAACCGACCCACTCCGCGAGCCTTGCATGTAATGGGTCTCGTAACTGCAATAAATTCTTGGCTCACTAGAGTAGCATATTGTACAGGTTCAAAGTTAATTTAATAATCTTTCACTCTCGACCTCCTTGATCACCTGGCACTAACCTGATTTTTCGATTGGATTCACAGGGTGTAGCTATAGGCATAGACGCTAGTTTCAATATAGTCCCTCGCCTTACCAAAGGAGCTATTAATACACATAACTAGGAACAGTTTATAAAACTGATCAAAAGTCGTTACAGAGACAACATAGGGGTTAAGATAAAACAAAATTACATCCTGTTTAAAGCTAGTAAATACCTAAGTCTCCCCTTTAAGGGTCACAAGCTCCTACGTTTTAGCGCAAAGGTTTCAGGAAGCATCGCAGCGGACTCCGGAGTAGAAACCTACATCAACACGGTGACACGAATTGCAAAAGTCCACTTCAGCTCCCGCGTTCAATACTAGCACGAAGGTTTTGGTGGATATAGTTACTACGACTAGGATAAAGTCAACGAGTCTATTTAATCTTATAAACAGGTCAGACATAACCCTATATGCTTATTCCTTTATATTATTTAATTTCTACTTCATAGAGAGATAACCGCGAGGTCCCTACTAGCATCGCATTGTCCATCAACGTAGTCAATCCCGTGAAAGAGCTCGGCATCCCCCTCTTCAATGTCAAGGACATTCCTAGAAAAGGAAGGGGCCTTATCGCCCGCTTCAATATATCCAAAGGCACTCAAATCCTCTATGAAAAGCCACTTCTTACAGCTGTGCCCATGCCACGCAAAGAGTTGGAGCTGACACTTGCAACAAGGCTAAGAGCACTACCTAAAGCATTACAACGTCAGTTCCTATCTCTGCACAATAAATCCCCTAGAAGTTACCCTTTTAGTACCGTCTTCAAGACGAACGCCCTACTATGTGGATCGAACAGTGTAGTGGGTGGAGTTTACCCTACAATCTGCCTTATCAATCACAGCTGCATCCCAAACTCTCACAACAACTGGAATAAAAATGAGAAACACGAAACAATTCATGCGATCCGACCTATCAAAGCCGGAGAAGAAATTACAATCCCGTATGATCATGGAGGTCCATCCGCTGAACGCCATGACTTCCTTAGGGAATCCTTTGACTTCGACTGCAGCTGCAGCAGATGCTCTAGTTCCTCATCCGAGCTCCAAGACAGTGACGCCCGCCGCCGATTGATCAGTAGCCTCGACGATGCCATCGGTGATCCAACGAACATGATGGGAAGGCCGACGGAGAGTCTGAGTAACTGCCTCTTACTTCTGCAAATTCTCAAGGCCGAATACGACGACGGCGCTGAACCACTCAATGCCAGACTCTATTACGATGCTTTCCAAGTTAGTATTGCGCACGGAGATCAGGCTCGAGCCAGCATTTTTGCGGACAAAGCGTATCAGGCTAGGGTCGTGTGCGAGGGTGAGGATAGCCCAGAGACGCAGAGAGTGAAAGCCCTTGCGCTGAAGCCAGCAGCTCATGCGAGCTACGGACTTTGTTCTATGAAATGGAGAACGAAAAAGCAAACAGTGCCGAAAGGTCTTGATGTTGTGCAGTTTGAGAAGTGGTTGTTCAGAAAGTAGAGGGCACTGACATGTGTATCAAATGTCTCTTGGTGGTTTCCTCAGGTTGGTCCGGCGAAAAGTTGCTGCAAAAATCTAATGAGTGTTGCGATACTAATGTTGTCTCTGCGACTGCTAGAGGAAATGAACTTCTCAGTCCCAGAGACCTCAATGTTGTGACATAGTGAACACATTTCCGCTCATGACGACCAAGATGCAGGCGATGCCCAGCAGGTCGGTCCTCAGATTGTAGTTCTCAAGGATCTTGAGGACACACTCGCCGTCAGCAGGCCAGAGGGCTGACCACTCTCGTCTCTTCGGTAGTTACACTAGGTCTGTGGGTGAGCTGAGGGACGTCGTCTTGTTCGTAGTAACTGTAAGTGATCCCATTGTTCGACTATGAGGCAGGTTTCAAACTGTTTCCTTTGACAACATTGCAATCAGGGGGGAAGCAGAGATTAACCCATACCGAGCTCCCAGATCCGTACTAGTCAGAGAATTAACCATTGCAAGGATGACAGTTGCCAGCCGGCGATGTTAAGCAATGAAAGCCATCCATCACCATTGTTTCTTCGCGGAAGGACGAACAGGCTGCCGGGGCTTCGGTGATGCTGACACTTCCAATGGCTGTCAGCGCTCTCGACGACAATCCTTGTCGGCTCTTGGCACCAAATGCCGGCGATAGGTAAGCACTCTCTTGCCGATCAGCTTTGCACCGTTCTTGGCATTAATGCTGACCATTACCATTTGATGTGCTGACAAAAGTGCAGAACGTCAGCAGACCTCCTCCACGGACGGTCGACCAGAGCTCTGACATGGATGTCGATAGTCAGCACCTTCTCCTAGCCAAGCTACGCCGCCTCTAATTGCTTGTTGCGACCGTCAATGATCCCAATGACTTGACTGTGCCATATTGTACATCTCCGAAAGAATTGCACAGAGGACGAGGCACAATCGTCATCAAGAAAAGCTAGCGGATAACATACCGCTGGCGTGCGGAAGGGCCCGCTAACGTCATTTGCGTGGTATATGTACGAAGGATCCCGTTTTTTTTGGCCGATCAGCGCTAGAGCCAAAACTACCTCTACGTGCAAAGTGCAGTATAGTACACTAACTACTAGATAATACTATTAAGTAAAGTTACTACTATAACGTACTCCACAAGCGAGTGACCAGCACAAGCGAGTAACCGGGTTTTGCCAAGACTACACTAACACTATACTTACTTTGCAACATTATAGCACACAACAACAATATATTATACTATATAGTATATAGAACTAGTCTATAGTACTCTGCGCATCTTTACTATATATTCGCGCGTTATGCCCTGTCTTGCTACATGTGCCACAGCGCCTTAAAGACTAAGTGCTCCTATTAACGCGCGACCTCTTCTTTGCCTTCTTCCTATTACTATAGGCCTTAAACTCCTTTAGAGTAGTTAGCTGCACTCCCTTAGCAAAGGCTAGAGTCCCCTCTTGCTATAATCGCTTCCTTTTATGTAATTTATAACGTGTAGCAGCCTTATTAGCTACCTATAGGTTAGCAACCTAGTTATGCACTAAAACTAGTAAATGCGCTATTAGCTCTGCGCCTCTAGTAAGCTAATTAAGAGCATTAACTATAGACGTTAGCAAGCTATTAGCATGTTTCTAAATCCTCTCTTAAATTAGCTTTAATTAGGACCTAAATTCTAGAGTGTTGCTTAGTGTCTTAGACTCCTACGTGCTGTTGTCTATAGTAGGTAGCGTTAGCGTGCGCAGCCGCACTTTAAGCTTAGATATTACAGCCTCTAGGTTAAGTAGGACTAGGCTAGCACCTCTAAATCATCCCTAGATGTTACTCTCTATAATTAAGGCATTAAAAGCTGCTTTAAAGCATAGCAAGAACTTAAGTTTAGTAATATGCATAATCTTGCTATGCATTAGCTGCTTAGCTTAGCAGCTATAGGCCTTCTTTAATAGAGAAAAACAGCCTATATTAAGTAGCTGTAGTAGGTGCGACAAGTGTAGAGGTATATACAGGGTAATAATCTTATGTTCCTTATAGTACTAGTAGAATTTAACTAAGTTATAGCTCTTATAGCTATCTAGAATAAGCAGCTAATAGCTGCTAATAGTGCGCGCCTTTATATGCTTATTAAAGTGCTTTAACTACTTAACTCTAAGCTTATTATTAGTCTAGCTATTATTAGAGATATTAAGAACCTAGTTATTAGGTATACTAGGCTCCTTGTACTAGGCAGAGAGGTAGTGCTTGCTAGAGAAGATAATAAAGGGTAGGATAGACTAGCCCTTTGCATTGATGCCCTAGATAATACTAGTCTACTCTTAGTTGCCCTACTGCACTGTCTTTAGTCTCCCTTAAGACTTAGAGCCTATAATAATAGCTCCTGTTAATATAACACCTATTATAAAGCTAGACTTATTAAAGTTATAGGTGTCTTTATCTTATATACTATACTTAGCTTTAGTATTCTCTACTAACTAGAACTAGTCTCTAATTACCTTAGGATCCTTATATAGGGCTCTCTTATAGTTATACTTTTAATTAAACTTAACTCTAAGCTCTAGCTAATACTTAATAAAGGTGCTAGCCTAGTTTTTGCTAACAGGGGACTAGTAGCGCTTAGTAAGGAGAGAATTAGCTATATCCTCTATATTAGTAAGTTAGGGTAAGTATCCTCGCTTGTCTAGCTTTAATAAATACTAGATAATTACCTCCTCTTTAGTGCTTGTTAGCTTTATTAATTTAGGCTTCTAATCGCGTTAAGAGAGCGTTCCTGCACGTTATTATCTTAGCATACTTTCTAACACCTTATAGATAATTACTGCTTATAGTATTATAAGTATTGCGTCTTATTAAATAGCCTAGAGTATAAGCTATATATTTGCTTTGTTTAAGAGCTTTCTTATATTATTACGTTAAGATATTATAGGTAGAGTAAAATTTAGTATAGTCTTAGCAAAACCTAGTTATATACTTAGGCCGGTTATATACCTAGGCCGGTTATATACCTAGGCTAGTTATATACCTAGGCTAGTTATATACTTGTAAGATATGTTAGAAAATCTTTCTATATATCTTAAGGAATAGGATAAGAACTGCTACTCCTATGCAAGCTAGAACTCTTAAACTATTATAAGATTTGCTATAAGTCTAATTTAGGAGTAGTTAGAGGCTACACGTATAGACCTAGGAACAGCTGCAAAGTATATCTAGGACTAAATTATAGCAGTTAAGTAGTACTAGGACTATATAATAGCCTTGCAGTTCTAAAATGTCTTTAATTTAGTTATTAATTCTTACTAGCTAGGAGATACACTAATATTACGGTAATATATAGAGAGTAGAAGAAAACATTATATACTAAGTTTAACTTGCCCCTATATATCTAGCCTAAAAAGTGTGCATACTATGCAATATATTTAACTAGGACGCTAAGGATCTACTAGGCGTTTAAGAGTTAGGAGCTAATATAAAATCCTATATAATGCACACTTTTGCTTCTATTAGCTACCTACTAATAATTTTATAATCTATTCTGCTTAATATTTTAATATAAAATATAATTACATCTCTTATCTTAACTAATCTAAGTCTAGCTAGTTCTCTCTTAGCACTATTCTCTATAGCTTAGCAGTCTAGTATTTTACTATGCAGTTCTAAGCTATAGCTAAAGCATAAGACTATACTCTTTAAAATAGGACTTAAATACACCTGCACCTATTACCTAAGCTCTAAAGCACAAGCTATTAACTAAAGCTAGCTAGAATAAACTATAGACTATAGGAAGAAATTCTAGTATAACTAATAGCTGCAAGCTACTCTCTAATCTGCTAAGTTATAAATAGACCCTAGCTAACATAGAGGAAGTATTAACGTCCTTATATTATAGTCTTAATAACTACTCTATATTCTCTACTCCCTAGTCTTATATAAAGCCTAACGCGCCCTAGAGGTTTATAGTTTACTAAGCTATATATAGAAAGGAGAGTAAGGAGCCTTAGAAGTAGATATTAGGTCTGCTCTAAGATATAGTTACTGTCCTAAAAATAACTTAGCAACTGTTTCTATAGCTTAGGCCTATATAATCAGACCCTTAATTTAAACTAATAGTTATAGAGGATAAGCAGAGATTTGTAGGCGCAGACTTGCACACAATCTAAGAAGCATTTTAGGAATAGGTTGCTAGTAACTTGCTATCTTGCGTGTGAGACCCTACTATAGAGGGCAGGATTAATAATATTAGGGCTATAATTGGGAGCACTGCAATTGGCGAAGCGCATAAATATAGGCACAGGGAGCCTATACCTCCCTAGCATGTAGCGCCTCCTTAGTAGAGTTTCTGTGTCCTTGTAGATAAGATCTGTCTGCGCTTGCTGAATCGCGCAGATGGTCTCTGTCTAGTGGTCAAGATAGTAAATCTGCGGTTTCCTGGAGGCAGGTGCGAGAGCATTGTAGCAGGATAGGAAGACAGCAAGATAGACGACCCTTAGGAGGATGTTGGGTGGATGTACACGTATGCTTATAGCTATGAGGCGTGGTATTAGGTCCTGTCTGATCCTTTAAATTGGGACGACGAGGTCTGGTACATGAGGCCTAAGAAGGAAGAGTTTCCTACTGCGAATAATGTAGAATAGAGTTTGTTGTAGAACATAGAAGGCCCTAGAGCGAGATTACAGGACGTTGCTATCGCATAATAAACGAGTCTGTCGAGCTGGCGAGGAACAGCGACATTGTTATCATCTTCGTCGGCAGGGACCATGAGTGAGAGAGCGAGGCTAGTGATATGGTGTCCCTGCATCTCCCGGCCCGTTCAGATGAGCTCATCGCCGCAGTTGCAAGCGCGAATCCTAACACCATTGTCGTGAATCAAACCGGTAGTCCCATCGCAATGCCCTGGAGGGAAAATGTTCCGCTCATCATGCAAGCGTGGTATCAGGGACAGGAGCAGGGCAACAGTCTTGCTGATGTCCTGCTCGGCGCCGTCAATATATGTGCTCGACTTCCTGTCACATTTCCCAAACGCATGGAAGACACACCTACATTGAACAACTGCCCCGGTGAGAACAACGTCACTTACTACGGCGAGGGCATCTACCTCGGTTACCGCTGGTACGATCACCGCAAGATTGAGCCACTGTCTGTCCCTTTCAACGCTGGCCTCTCCTACACAACATTCGAGTAAGGTAACATTCGAATTAGCGGCGACGTCCTCGCCGCCAACGGAACACTTAAGATCGAGATTAATGTGACCAACACAGAGCTGAGGGATAGTAAGGAGATTGTGCAGTTCTACGTTTCATAGCAGTCACCTTATCTAGCCAGGCCACCACGCGAGCTCAAGGGCTATGACACGGTATTTGTCCGAGCTGGAGAGACAGTCACTGCCAGAGTGATGATGGACAAAATCAACGTGTCGTACTATGATGACGCTGAGAGAGCATGGGTCATCGACGGCGATGCTGAGTTTACCGTGTTTGCTGCCAAGGACTCGCGGGACCCAGGACTGTCGACAAAGTTCAGGTCGAATGCGAAGACAAATATCCTCCTAAGAACAACACAAGTAATTATCCTACCTGTCAATGTCGCAATAAAACCTGTTCACTTAGTATTACTTTACACACTATTACTCTAGCTACCTAGTCTTAGACAAGCAAGTGTTCTATAGTACTTATATTACTAAAGCTATAAGAAGTAACTTTAGCAAGACTGTAAGCTTATATATTATGCTCGTCGTGTGCACACTAGGCTCTAACGCTGCTTACTATGATGGTTATGGCGAATGGGCGCAAGAATGCGAAGCTGATGTTGGAATCGGGTTCTTCAACACTGCTCGGGAGCTATTCTCCAGGCTCGAGAGAGTAGACTGGTCGTGCGTGCAGTTTCTTTTACTCATGGAGTATATTATGTCCCACACTAAGATTAGACTGTATCGCTAGCAAATGCAGAGTTGACCACCAGCAGTACGCCATGCTAGAGCGACCAAGAAGGATCTATTTGCTCATTCTTAGCGGCCAAATCCTTGCCGAATTCGACCTACCCTACAGCGGACTTGGGAATCTTGCTAACTTTGTGCCTCTTCCGACAGTCTCTGATGCCCCTACAAGTTCGCGGCTCACACTTGATCAGCTTTTCTTCTTGGCTTTAATTACTATTAGAAAGCTCCTGAATAGAATAATGTTGTGTTTGTATATGCTGGGTACGATATTAGAGTTACTAGGACATTAGACAAACTCATTCACTAATATAGCGACAGATTAGACAGACGACGAAACACAATCTGCTTCTTTGCCACCGGCTGATACACTATCCATGTTCCTGTCAGCTTCTCACTCGATCATCAATGAATTAGACCGCCAACTCGAAGAGTGGCGAGCCTGCCTTCCACACGAAATCCGATTTCCTCAGCACTCGTCGTGTGTTAAGCGGATACCTTCTCCACTACCTTAATCTCGCACTACGAAGTAGAGACTGCGCGGCTTTCTGATAACGCGTTACTGCACCGCGAAACCAACTATATACCGCCTATTCATCTTCCGCGCTTTGCACGCCCCATGGCCTCTGCTGCTATCAGACAGCGACAAAGCTGGAGCTCGCACTGCCGTCAGCGCGGCTTTTGTGCACTGTCTACACAGCGGTCTGCTCCACGAACCACTACATATGCTGTTCCATCCGATCAACACCTAGAGAAGGTATCTATACATCAAATTCCGTGTCTTTAACACAGACTTGTACTAATGACATTTAAATTCTTTGCCATAGCTGTATAGGTATCGATGGTTTCTAGGAGTTAGGCTGCTGCATTTGCCCTGCCCGATGATTGGGCTATCGCGGAGCGCACCCGTCAACCTATTATCGAAGTTGCAGGTGTCATGTCACCTACAATCAGTCGAGATAATGAGATACTGCAGGGGCTTTTGTAATTCACTATATAGTTAGCTTTACCTGGGATCTAGCACATGTGCAAACCCTGCTGTCTTGAATGCAACCCTATTAACTGGATAGCATAGATGCATTATAAACTATAAAAGTGCATTTTGCTTTTACTATTATCTATGCCGCATAGTATAGTTAGTCTAAAGCTTAGTTTGCTTAACAACCTATACGTCGCATTATAAGTTTATAACAAACGAAGTCTTGCTAGCAGTAATATACTTCTTAACTTTTACTTTATAGTACGTCCCCTAAAAGGACTGTTAGTATAATTAATATAGTGTAAAGGTAGAACTTAGCAGGCACCTATAACTTTACTTAGAATTACTACCTTAAGAGCTAAATGTTGCCTATGTAGGACAAAGGATAGCAGAGGGAGGCGTAGGCCTATTCTTTAGACTAGATGCAGGAGAACAGCACAATATTAGTAGCTAGGCCACTCTTGTTTTCTGCAGCAATAGGCATATAAGTTATGCAATTGTTAAAACGCTAGTGCACTAAATAAAGCGTTTGCTATCTTTAAGTAATATTTAGGTATTATTATAAATAGTGCAACATCTAGGACTAAGAGTTAAAGTCTCTCTATTTTCTAGATTAGAGGAAGTAGCCTATAAGCACATTTATAAACAAATATAATTACTATAGGAAATAGATCTGCTAACGTGATATAGAGACTTCTAAGGCCCTAGCTTAGTTTACGTGTTGCTACCTCTACCTGCGATTGGATTGTAGGAAAAGAGCGCTATTGCAGTGCTAACGCGATGTTAATTAGTGCGCGGTGTGCAGCACTAGCAAGTCGTGCTAGCAATACCGTGTCTGTGCGCGCAACGACTAGATTCGCGCAACGACCGAATTATTATAACTATACTATATTTTAACGCGTTGTATCTTAACAACTATAGCAGCTATTGACAAAGCGCTTATAGCAATTAATGCGCTAGAACTAGGTAAAAAACTTATATATTAGACTTTTGCTACTAGGTTTAGCATTAATTATATAACTCTAGCCTAGAGATATAAGCATGCATAGCAAGCTTAGGAGATTAAGAACATTAATTAATAATAACTTACCCTATAACAAGAGATAGAGCTTATAAAGCATATAGAAGAGCTTACTGCCTATTACTTACTACCTATAAGAGAGATAATCTAAAATTTCGCGTTGCCTATAGCCTAAAATCTAGTCTCTAAGAGCTAGGTTATGCGCTTTATTAACTGTTACTCTATCTATCTTATCTTGCGTTACTCTACTAGGATAGATTGCTAGCGTTATAACGCTAATTCCTATAATAAATATAAGCTCTACTTTAACCTGCTATAGCAGAAAATCTTTAAATACTCTATTAAGAGTTACTATATATATAATATAGATAAGAAGGGCTTTATAATTAGGAAGATAGGTAGAATAAAATATGTGTTTAGTAAGTGTATATAGATAAAGGGTAAGGTTAAAGTATTAACCTTAGATAGTAATTAAGATTAGCAGACTCTTATAGTATGTGTGTGCGCTAATAGAATAGTACTGCTGCCTAGGCTTATCTATAAGTTCTCTAACGCTAGCATTAAATTAGACTAGGTAGCTAAAATTAAGCTAGGGGTATACTCTATAATAGTTATGTTATCTCCCTTAGGATAGTTAAATAATAATATTAGGCTTGCGTAGCTTAAGCAGGTGTTTAATTGCTATATAAAGGATAAGGCATAAAAGAAGTAGTAGCTATTAATACTAGATAGCTATAGATTATATATAATAATAGATTTTATTAACTATTATAATAAGAATAAGATACTCCTAGCTATACTTCCCCCTTACTTAACCTAGACGCTCTAGCTGCTTAATATAGTGCTGTTTAAGCCTCTATTAACAGCGTACTTAAAAGTAGTTATAATATATATCTATAAGGCTTAAAACTACTTACCTATTACTAGAGTAGACTTCTTCTGCTTGTTTTAAGGGGCGTAGATATCTAGCTTTACTAAAATGTTAATACTTAAGTTCTTTAAGGCAATAGGTATCTATCTACTTAAACCTAATATTATCCTTAATTACTTTGCTAAAATACTAGAGAGTTTAGACTTAGATACTACCTTATTGTCTGTTTTTAGCAACGAAGATTAGCTTAAAATAGAGACGTTGTTGTAGAGGGTTGCTAGAGATAAGAGTAGTTGCGACGCTAAAAAGATAAGATAATTAATCTACTATATCTTAGTTAAAGCCTTACTCCTCTAATATAAGATAGATAGCCTTAAAAAGATCTTAAAGGAGTAGAAGAAGTATAAAAAGAAGAAAAAAGCCTTAGATTTGCAGTAATAGCAAGAGTACTATAGTAGTGCTGTTTTATAGTTACCTAGTAAGATTAATAAAGTACGCTTCTATAAAAGGATAAGAAAGCAAGAGGAGAAGAAGGAGACGCTTAGAAAAGCAACTAACAAGGAAGTAGCAGCCGCTAAGAAGCTAGTTAAGAAGAAGGAGAAGGAAGAGAAGCGTATAGTAAGAGAGATAGCTAAGAAGGTATATAAGAAGGAGAAGGCTAATATAGCAATTTAGAAGGCTAAATAAGAGGCTAAAAAGCAGCATTAATAATAGAAGCATAACGCTATAAAAGCTATATAATTACCTTAGAAGGGTAAGAGAAAAGCTTTATAAGCAACCTAGCTAAAAAAACGTTAAAAACATAGTTAAAATAGTAATATAGATAGGGGTAGTCTACTAGTGCTGCCCCTATCTCCTCTACCTAAAACTATAATATATAGCTGTAATGTTAAATTACTAGTAAAATTTAAATAGTATAACGTAAAGCATTAGCGAGCCGGCCACACTAGCGAGCCGGCTACTTTTCCTTGGCACTGCGAACACTACATACAGGATGAGCAATTACTTACTACCCTTTGCAGAACCTGCGTACGACGCACTTTTATTAGATGCAGAATCTTCTTCTGCATCTTCCTAGCACGTATGCGCGTTATGCCCAGTCTTCCCACAGTTGCCACAGTGCCGTTGACCTGGTTGGGCTCTTTCATGACCACTCCTAACACGCGCTCTTTTTAACACTGTACGAGCTGCAGCTGCGCTTTCAGCTATAGAAGCTGCTGCTTCACCATACTCTACTGTACCACCATGCTGGATCTGCTTTCTTTTCCAGGTTTTGCGCTTAGTAAGTACTGCTAATTGCTCTTCAAGCTCACGAATGCAAGCTGCTTATACAACATTCTCATGTAGCATAAGCTTACCACCTTTTACAAGCTGTGCAAACCCCTCTCTTGCTACTTCTAGTGATTGTACAATAGCTTGCCTTACAAGCCTTGCCTGTGACCTAAATTCATGTGAATTGCTTGGTGTTTGGGATTGCCATGGTGTTTCTAGTAGGGGTGCTGGTGGTGGCGTACGAATCTGAACATCCAGGCGATCCAAGACACGCTGCGCGTTAATAGGCACAAGCCCTGAAGCCTCAAAGGCCTTCTTGCAGTTCTCGTATGTAAACACGTCGAAAAATGCGTCTCTAAAGGCTGGAAGGAAGCCTTCTTTGTTAATGTGGTAGACGCGTTTAGATGCCAAGGCTCGTACGCGTTGAGAGTACTTTAGTTTCAACAGTGAGAAACACACCACATCAAGTGGCTGGAGGATGTGTGATGAGTGAGCAGGCATACAAAGGGTAAGGATCATGTTTTCCAGGCAGTAATCCTTAAACTCTTGGTTAAGGTGGCTCTCATGGCCGTCCAAAATAAGCAGCCTATACAAGCCCTTTTGACGCGCCTTTGTATGCTGGTTAAAGTGCTTCAACCACTCTAGGCCAAGCTGATTGTTTGTCCATCCGTTCTCAGAGACAGAGAGCTTCCAGTCGTACGGTATGTTGGTCTCCTCATACCAGGCAGAGATGTGTACACGCCCTTTGTAGATAATAAAGGGTGGGATAGCATACCCAGCAGCACAGATGCTCTGTATAGCTGTAACCCACTCCCGATCACCTGGCTGGATAAGGTTTGGTCTTGTACGTCTCTCTGAACCTGTAACAACCTTCATTGAGCCAATAATTCCTATCTAGAAGCCGGTCTCATCAAAGTTGTGGATGTCCGCATCCTGAACCCCATACTTGTCTTTTGTGTCCTGTACGAGCTTAAACCAGGCGTTGATAACTCCTGGCTCCTCCTGGAGTATTCTCTGACGATCCTTTGCTCGATTGAAGGCCATTTTAAGCTTCTCTGTTCGCCGGACGAATCGCTCTGCCCAGTTCTTGCCAACAGGTGTCCCACCACGTACAGCGAGAAGTTTATCTGCAATATCTGCCACCTTAGAGAGCCTAGGGGCAAATCCGCGCGAGTCAAGCTTAAGTATATATTGTACGATTGTTTGCTCTTCAGTTACAGAGAGCTTCTGGCTGTTTGGTAGTGCTTCTTGTCGAAATGTAATTTTGTGGAGCCGGTCAGAGAGCCGTTGATGACGTACGTTGTAGGCTGCAGCAGCGCGTCGCACGCTTTGAAACTGTCCCTTAGTGTACGCCTGAAGGGCAAGAGTAAGTCTACCTTCTTGTTGAGTTAATTTCTGCTTGTGTTGTTGTTGCATGTTGTATTGTATGGAGAAGTTGCAGTGCCAAGGAAAAGTGGCCGGCTCGCTGGTGTGGCCGGCTCGCTAATGCTTTACGTTATATTTAGTTATATAGTTTCTAGTTACATTAGGTTTAGCTATATAGGTTACAGCCTTGCAAAGAGATAGGAAACTCTAGGCAAGGGAAAATAAGAATATATATATTATAACT